GAACTGGGAGGGCTGAGGCTTTTTCCTCCTTGGCGTCGGGTCCCGCCGGTGCCCTTTGCTCCAGGCTGACTGGCGTGTAGATCAGACTGGATCAGTCGGCAGAGGATTGGCGGGCCTGTGAGAGCTAGCTGTGGGCTTGGGCTTCGCCTGACGTGTGGGGATGATGTTGCACAGAGCTTCTGTCTGCTTCTTCCTCAGATCAAACCTAGCCTGAATGGCTTCAAGTGAATGTCTGAATAACCCAGCTGTAGACACTGGTTCGTCCATATATACAGCCCTGTCCCTCTCCGGGACATCAGAGAGGGTCAGCCATAGATGCCCCTATATGCCACTACTGTCAAAGCCATCCTTCTGCCCAGGGAGAGCGCTGCACAGCGGGACTGACCACATTAAGAACAGGTGCCAGCGGGCTGTCATCAGGAACCAGCGACCCGAGCTCCACCAGGCACATCGCCTGGTACGTCTGGAGCATGGTGACAAATCATAGATGTCCAGGCTGATGTCCAGCGTGCTGGAACCATGCTCCTGCATGGTTCTGGCTTGTCTTTGACTAACCCCTCAACACATTCCATGTGGTAAGCCCAGCAAACTGCGGGGACATCGACCAGGCTTCAGGCTCCGTCAACGCTCCCCTAGCGTGGACGATCCCCAGACAGAGCAGGCATCATGCTGGCTGTTGTGCAAAGAGAAACCGCATCCCTGAGGACAGGGGTGAACAGAAGATTTCTGCTTTGCTCGCTTTGGTTTGGAGTCCATTCCAAAACACAAAGCAAACCGCTGCCCAGGAAAACTCGAAATTACCACTCGAACGCACCAACTGCGCGGTGGATGCTAAAACCAACAGGGGTACTTAAGCTAAGTTCAAGTCAGTGGTCAATGGTCAATGGTAACTTTATTGTCCTTAACGGGAAATTGATTTGCAGTATGTCCATACAGAAATATAAAAAATAAACAAACAAACACATCACATACACACAAAAAAAAATATTTATTTGTGTGTATGTGTGTATTTTTTTTTATCATCAAAAAAGTGCAATGTGCAATGGCAACAACACTTATGGTTTAGTGTTATTAACCATGATAATAGCAGTAGGTACAAAAGACAATCTAAGTCTCTTTGTCTTCACTGCAGGCAAGTTTAAAATCAAGTTTAAACTGGTTAAGAACTTTATCAACTAAAAGATGTGGCTGGATAGTATTAAAAGCTGAAGAAAAATCAATAAATAAGAGCCAAGCATGAGTTTTGGCACCAACAAGATGGCGATAAAGGAAATTCAACAGAGTAACCACTGCATCATCAACACCTCTACGAGACCTGTATGCAAATTGTAGTGGGTCGATAAGCTTTTCTACTTGCTGCAGGATCTTCCTGACAAGTTTTTTAAAGGACTTCATCACTAAAGATGTTAAAGCGACAGGCCTAAAATCATTTAATGATGTAGGTTTTGTGGTCTTAACAACTGGAGAAATAATTGATTTTTTCCATACCTCTGGAACCTTCTGTTGCTGAAGTGATAAAATGTATAGCATGTTCTAAGCACCTGGGCACATATATTATCAGGACCTGGACTTTTATTAGTCTTACTCATTTTAAAAAGATTTTCCACCCTTCTTTCATCAAAGAACAAAGCTGGGGGGCTCTGGTGCTCTCTATTAAGAAATCAAGTGTATTCCTAAAATTATAATTATCATTAAATCTCAAAATCTATTCAGCTCATTGGCTAACTGAGAGTCTGAACTAAAACTAGGGAGACTTATCTTATTACAGTCACTGTAACAGTGACCAGTCATGTGTTTCATGCCTGCCCAGGCAACCCTTATGTTATTGCTGTTATTAGGGAAAAAATGCATAACCTTTGAAGGGATAATCATGTCTCTGCAAAAGGAGATATAGCTGCAGACAACATCAGTGAGTTCATTAATGTTTCTACATGATTCTGTAAACACCGACCAGTCTGTACAGTCAAAGCAGCCCTGCAGGGCTAAAGAGGCGTCGCCACTCCAAACCTTTATGTGGTGTTTCCTCACCTTCTCAGCACAGTCTTATAAACCGGCAGGAGATGCACTGTGTTGTGATCCGAGGATCCAAGGGCGGGGCCAGCCACAGATGTGTACGCACCTTTTAAGGAACCGTAACATAGATCCAGAGTCTTATTGAAGCGTGTGGGACAGTTCACATACTGATAAAAACTGCTCAGTGTTTTCTTCACGTCGCAGTGATTCAAGTCCCCAAAAACAATATTAGGGGCCTCAGGAGAGAGAGATTGTAGTGAGTGGATGACGTTGGAGATGGTGTCAGTCGGATTCGCTTTAGGGTGGATGTAAACGACAGTGACGTTGATCTGTGGGAATTCCCTCGGCAGATAAAACGGCCTCAAAGACACAGAGAGGAGCTCAATGTCAGACAGACACACTTGTTTACGAACTGTAACGTTTTTACACCATTTCTTATTTATATACAAACATACCCCTCTTCCATTTTTCCACTTATTTACTAATCTTATCTGAACTATGACAAATATACAGGCAAAGTGTTTGCTTTTGCCTGTATAGCTGTCATAGCTTCATCATTCTCATCATTCTCTTAGGGCATCTCCTAATCAGAAGATTTGTGGTTTGATCCCTGGCTACTCCAGTCTGTATGCCAAGTATCCTAAGATATCCACGATACTAATCCCAAGCTGCTCTCCGATGTGTGTGAATGTTAGATAGGACAAAAAGTGAGGAAAGTTGTGTAAAGCACTTTAAGTGCTCAGATAGAGTAGAAAAGCAGAACCAGTCCATTTATAGCTTTGTAGCTACCCTGACATTTAATACTGGATACCATACTCTCTTTTAATGGAATTCATCCTTTTAACCACTGATCAGACTTCAAGAATTTCTGTCTTTTTCCTTACCGTGTTTGTCTCCCTTTGCATTTTTAATAATTCTTCTTGTGACCTTTTATTTTGAGTAAGATTTATTTAAAAAAAAAAAAGTTATTTCAGCTTTTAATTGCTTTTAATTACTTTATCACATTCCTTTGTCCACCTGGGTACAATCTTCTTTTTGCTCTCACTTCCTTCTTTATAGTCAGCTTGCTGCTTGTAGAATAGAATAGGATTATACACATCATAAACATTCATATCAACTATTTTGCACTTCCTGGCCACTAAAAAGCCTGAGTGTCCCCCAATCTGCAGAAATGAAACACCACTTCTGCGCACCCCCTGTATCATACTTCTCTACACTCAGTTCGATCTCAGTCATTACAGGATGGTGGTCTGATCTGAGATCCCTGTGTTGGTTTTGTTCTGCCATTATTATAATAACGTTGGTCCAGGATTGATGTGATGTCATGGCTTTGCAATGTGAGGACATTTTTAAAAAAGATAAAAGAGCATTTGTTTCTGTAAAACTGTTAAGCATTTTGGGTATTTCTTTATTAATTTATGCAGCATCTTAAATATGCTATCAAGCTGTTAGCCAAATTTCCATTATTCATGTTGGTTTACTAGTGGGGTTTTTTTGTTTTTGTTTTCTTTTTGCTAATGCTAACTGGATGCTCAGACAATTTCACAGGTCAGTTGTTCCCCTCCTCAGTTGTGTCCCTCAACATAAGTACACCCTCAGTAGAGAGTGTATTTTACTCACAATACACCCTCTGCTGAGAGACGCCTACCTCAGGCTGTTCAGATCTGGGTGTTTACCGTAACATCTCAAGGCCCAGATGGGGTTTTTTTCTCCTCATCTAGCCATAGACTGCAGTGCTCAGCAGTCCCTCAAATTTCCCTGAGGGTGTTTAGGAAGTGTGTCTGTGGTTGTAGTGATGAAACCCAGCAGTCACCATCCACTGGGCAAACTGCTGCTCTCCAGATTTCCTGTTCTACCTTCAGCTCGGTATATCGCAGCCTCTTCCTCTCACTGACGTCTTCCTTTGATACTGTAGTAGTAGTACAGAGAGAGGTGGACCAAAGTACCAGACTGGTCTTAGGATGAATAGAAATGTACTACTTTGGCACTTTTGCTTCTGGTCCAGATTTCAATTATGATATTTTGTCATATTTTGTTACTTTTACCAAAGTAAATGCAATCGTAAATTTACACTAATCAAAATTCAAGACAAAGTGATGTATTTCCTTGAATTTTTTATTCAAAAAACATACACAGCACAGGGTATTGACTATAAATTACTACCCAGGTGTATGCAAAGTCACCTAGCACTGGGACACAAACTTAAACACAAGAGCAGCAGGTTTAAGTCAGAGAAATATCACAAACTAACCACCAATTACTAGTTTTAATTCACTTTTTGCATAAATAAATACATTTCTTAAAATATGGGAACCATACATATTCCCTTGTGAGTAATTTCAAAAGTTCATCTTTATTATTTTTTTCTCCAATGTCTGTTGCGGGGCTCCGTATTTCCGGACTATACTACCTCTGTCTGAACTGTTTTCTTCTAAACTGGGGCACTGTGCCCCCACCCAGTGTTGCCAACTTAGCGACTTTGTCGCTATATTTAGCGAGTTTTCAGACCCCTTAGTGACATGAAAAGACGTGAAAGCGCGTATTGCTTTTACTCTCAACAAGCAGCGGGTGCTGTAACGCAGTCAGTTCTTCTTTTACTCTTATGCTGTTTTGTGGATCACAAGGTTTAAAACTACTTATAAACACACACACAAAGTAACTCCACCAGAGTGCCTATTTCGGGTCACTTTTGCCGGTCCAAGCCCGGGTAAAGGAGCAGGGTTGGAATTGTGACATTAAAAAAAACAACAATTGCTAAAAGAAATTTAATTTGTAGTTCTAAATAAACTCTAAATGTATTTAGGACGTTTTTTATTCACTTTATGTCTCTTCCACGATGTTATTTCGCTCTCCAACAACATAGGTTACAATTAGATTAGCATGACCAATTATGCAAATTAGGCGATGACGTCATTTAGCCACTTAGGACAACCAATAGCGATTTTCCTTACTGAGGAGTTGGCAACACTGCCCCCACCACACTTCCATCCCATCACCGGTTTCTCCGTCTTTCTGGCCCTGTCCCACTACATCCCGGAAATCTCGGAAGTCGGAATACGCCCTAGTTCAATAATTCTGATTTAATCAAAAAACGCACCATGAATTCACGTCGTCGTGCTCCAGATTAAGTTTAAAGTCGGATTCCAGTTTTTTTCCTCTCGGAATTTTAATTTGAAATGGTCCCTCAATAGAGATTTGCACCTCGCAAACGTCGGAGCAGCTTCACAATCCCAGAGTTAACCATTCAGAACACTGATAGCTTTTCAGCATGAACGCCCACACTAAACGAAGAGCAACGTTTAAGCTAACTTTCACTACAGAATTTTAAAGGGTTACTGTTATTTAAAAAATAATTGCTTCAGCCGCTATATAAGGCAGCATGTTAGCCTGTGATATCATGGTTTCTGTGTTCCTCGTATTTGGTAAGTCAAACAGCAGCTCCATGTTTGCAGCACGTCTTTTATGTAAAGCTAACCTTAGCTTAGCTTGTAGCCTGTGTGGATGCTTATCACTGCGTCCTAATCCTGTGCTTGCCTGCAGCATGTCGCGCTGCCTCCGTGGTTTCTGCGGTGTCTTGTCACACAAAGGAGTATGCAACAAGGGATGGGCAGTGCTGCCCGATGTGCCAAGAAGGTACGATAAAAAAACAGTTCTAGAAGTAAACCCGCCCACATTATGTGAGTTCCCACTGTGAGAACAAAGAGTAAATAAAGAGCCGTCTATCTTATTTGATGTTACAGCTGCTTCTTTTATCTCACAGTTCTTTAAGTTAATAAACCTGAAAATCTGCTGACTCTTTTTTTTTTTTTTTTAATCATTTTTTCCCCTGAAACTGTCAACTAACCTTCATTAATAGTTAGAATTGACACAGTTCAGATAATAGCTTTCAGGAAACATCACAAGTATTGTAAATAAATTGTAACTGTTTGTCTGAGGGGGCAGCACACAAACAAGTTATTAAGTTGCATGTTCAGATGAGATAAACCTTTTTTTCATACCTTCCGTCCACCTCGACTCAGTTCATCTTACACATACTGAAACGTCATTTCATATGATCAGATGTGTTGAGCATGTACCTCTACAGCATTGCTGGCACAGGGTGAAGTAATGCAAGGCTTTGTGGCACACTATAACCATTTCAAATGTACCAGAGCTGTAGAGGTTTAAAAACAACTTGATCCCCATATTCACAGTTCAATTCAAATGTTATTTATATAGCGCCAAATCACAACTACAGTCGCCTCAAGGCAGTTTATACTGTAAGGTAGGCCCTACAGTAATACATACAAGAGACACCCAATGACCTCTTTTGGTATTGTCACATCTTGAAACTGCTACTGTGTGAAAAATAATGATGCACACAAGGATTGTACAGTTCTAAACAAGGCAATTTCTTATACCCATCTATTAGTACCTGAAAAAAGTTGATTCTTTTCATCTGCACGTACATTTGAATCAGTGATATAACATTTCTCTATCTATCAACAATTAGTTCTTCATAATGCCCAAAAGATGACTAGGTAAGCTACTAGTCTGTGTTATCTTGTTGTTGTAATAATTATGTGAAATATGCAGATGGTTCACAGAGCAGAGGCTCCTCCACTATCAGAAAAAGTTGTAAGTGGTGCATACTATTATCTGCTCCACAGCACTCATCCACACAGGCTTGTATTTTGCAATAATTGCGCACACCAATTGTTCTTGAAATATAAAAAATTTAGTAATATATAGTAGGAGTACAGAGGAAACTATTATATTCTGGCAGTTATTTTGCCAGTACCAGCTGGTGGTTGCTTAGTAACTTTACACAGTCTATTGTGGTGTTTAAAGTTTTCTAAAATGTGTGTCTAAAAAGATTCACCCCAGATTTAATACACTGTGCATTCACTGTGCGTTTGTGTTCTTGACCTTTAATGTGGTTTTAATGTTCACATAAATGTTGTGCTGTGTTGAACAGGTACAGTTGTTCAGAGAGACTGCACAGCATATTCAGGAACTCGGTGCCGTTCCTGTGACCTGGGGACTTTCATGAACCAACTCAATGGTCTGTCTAACTGTTTCTCCTGCACTACCTGTGATACAGGTACAGATGGAAACTTCTTAGTCAAATTTTAATTTAAAAAATAAAAAGGTTTTGAAATTGCACCGATATTTTTTTTTTTAGGTCATGGTCTCTTTGTCAAGCGGAACTGTACAGCAAAAACTGACACAGTGTGTGACGTTTTAAATGGATATTACTGCAAAGGTTTGATTGACAGTAATGGATGTAGTTTGGCAGAGAAACATTCACAGTGTGAAGCTGGTCAGAGGATAAAAGAATCTGGTAAGAAAAGTTTTTTTAGATGAGCTGATAAATTAGGATTTTTTTGTGTAACAACGAATGTGTTTCTTTCAGGAACTAGCAGAAGTGACACAGTGTGTGAAGACTGTCAGCCAGGCTTCTTTTCCAAAGACGGTGTGAAGTGCACTGCTTGGAAAACGTAGGTCATAATTTATAACAAAATCACTCTAAGTTTATTTGATTTTCAGTTATTGATCATCAATTTCTTAATGGAATCTCTCATATACTTCGCACTAGGGCTGTGCCACATCATATCATCTGCAATAATATCGGTATTACGCTATACACTGTGTGTCGCTATAGCAAGAATATGTGTTTGTATCCTAGTGTTTATGACAAGGAGTCAAAACCATGCATGTCTGAATGTAAGAGCAGTGTGCAACTAAAAATGAAGCTACTTCAGCAGCTTCCAGTGAACACAGGACGAAAACATGCAGGAAATCTGTTTGGAAAAAAGTGAAAACAACAAACTGGTAGAAGAGGGTAAAAACACACCTTTGAGTAGAACGAGACACATAGGACATGAGCAGTCACTCGCTGCACTCGCTAGTTATCCTCTATATAACAGGAGGAGCAAACAGTGGATGCAGTTACATGATGGAAAAGCAGGACTTTAAGCATACACTTTAAGCATAGACTGACCAAGGCAGAAAATATTTTTTATGTTTATGTTTTTTAATATTAATATATGACAATATTGTGCAGCTCCTAACATTTTACAAGAGTAAGGTCATTTAGTTATTGTCAAACTCAAGTTTTAAAATTTATTTTATACTTTGACTTGAAAATTCCAGGAAAAATACTACCTAGGCTACTTTTGTGCTTACATTTTCTTTCATTAGATTCACATTTCAGTTTAAGTAGTCTGACATTGGTGAGACTAGCTCTCTGGAAAAGAAGGATGCTTCATCTACTTACAGTTATTAATGCTGCTGCCTGTGAGCATTTAAAAAACATACAGTATTTTTTTCTATATCTTCATATCTCAGTTGTCATATATTACTCACCTCCACACAGGACTTTGGGAATTGCCCTCCTTTAGTAACCTGAGGACCAGTGATTCAGCTGATTGAACAGAATATTATCCAACTTTTATTTTAAAAATGTTGTAATGGTACAAGAAAAACTTTGAATTTGTTTAAAATAAAGTTTTGAATAGTTTAAACTACAGTCATAGATTATTAGAGATTCATTAATAATAACATGGTGGTGTCTCAGTTACTGTGTATTGAAGATAAACACGAGTACCTCTGGAAACCTCTGCATGTGTCCCGTTCTGTCTGTAAACATGATAGCTTGAAAGGTTTTGAATGAATTCTGATAAAACCTTGTTGGAGTGTAGAACTGACAAAAATCCTCATGACTTAAGAGTGTATAATTCTTACAAACATTGTGTGTACTATCAACACATAGAAAGCACCATATGTAATGGTGTAAAACAGCATGTCACATTTGACCTCTGACCTCTCCTTCAATAGATCGAGACAGATGACAGCACAGTTGAGGCATCAGTTAATCCTGATGGCCACATTAGGACACATAAACATGAGCTCTGCTTTATCACAAACATCTTGTTTTTAGAGTGAAAAAACAAGATGCTTGTCAGCAGGAATACTAACTGTAGTCCATGTACTTGTACTATGCGCTTTACAGATTTCAGTACACTGATGTCAGGCTCATAAAATAAAATAATAATTAACTTAGAGCATAAAAGTTAGAACTACTGATGTAATATTCAGATTTGCAAAATTACTTCAGTTTTTCATCAACATTTGACAGGATATCAAAATATTATAACAATTTACATAAAATTATTATCTTGATAATTCTCTGTGGTCCTGCTCCTTCATGTGGATTAATTTGGATTTTCTTTCTCTTTCACCTCTTCTTTTACAACAGTTGCTCAAACACACAGATAAAGGTCAAAGGAAGCTCGACCAGTGACGTTGTCTGTGGGAGAACATCAAGTCAACATTACTTTGTGTTTTTACCTTTTTTGCTTTGCTCAGTAGCATTTACTAGCCTTGTGACAGGTTAGTGCATCGTCTGCATTGTGTTGACTTTTCAGTTTAAAGCCTTAACAACA